CAAATATCTGAGAAACATGTATTATAGGCCTGGCTCTGCGTTGAGGGCTAAAGAAATAAAATAAAAAAGATGAAGTTAATGTCCTCATGGTGATCAGTGTGATTAGAGAATTAACGTATAAAGAATGATTTAGTATAATATGATAAATTCACCGATGGAAGCTTATACAACGTATCACAGAGAAAGACATTTTTTGAAAGAATTATTTTATTTAACTTTATTTATTTATTTTAATTTGACCAGAGGAAGACAAAGTGTGAGAGAGAGAGAGAGAAAAAGTGAGAAAGCAAGCTGCCAGGTCCAAGACTTGAACCATGGTCCACCATGCGGGAGAGGTCCAGTACCCTTAACCACCATGCCACATGCTGGTCTCAGAGAAAGGAATATTTAACTTAGAAGAAAAGACCCTTGAGATCTTAATGGAGTGAGACTTGCCAGGTATGAGTTACTTACATGATCTTTAAAGAATTTGGAGCTCAATAGTGAAGAAAATGATGACTATAGCAATCTTCATTTATACAGTACAGGCACTCCTCACTTAACAGCAAGTTCCATTCCTACAACTAGGTGATTAAGCGAATTAGTTGATAAGCAAGGAGCTTAAAGGCAGATGTCTAGTGGTGCCACAAGTTATGTATTTTTCAACAGATATTATGTAATACCACACTAGAATAATGTGATTCTATACATACAAAAAGCATACATTAGATAAGCACCAGAAAGTGACAAGACATGTTATAATACATTAATGTAAATCCAATGTAATCAGTTTTACTTATTCTGAATACTACTATGGATGCACAATAAAGTGCCAATTTACAAACAAAATATGTAGTCTTGTGTGACTGTGAACACTTCATGTAGTGAAAACTAACTGACTGCAGGAACAAGACAATGACTGAGAAAGGGGATTCCTGAGACTCATGCAGACTGAAAAAGAGGATTCCTGGTGCTGAAGAATTGGTTGTAAATCTAAGCAGTTATGAAACAGAAAGGTTATTAAGTGAGGTGTGACTGTATTTACTACATACTAATCAGTGTCTTGGGTGCTTTACATATTGTTAGGAAAGTCATGATGCATTTTTCTATGCAAAAATGCGACATGACTTTTCCAATAACCCAATATATTAAGTCAGTTAATACTATAACCTTTGGAGAGAGGTGTTATGATTTCCATTTTGTTTAAAAAAAGAAACTGAGGCACAGAGAAGTTAAGTAATTCTCTGGTAGTTACAAGGCTGGTAAGTGATAGAATCAGGATTTGAACTCAGGTAGTCATAGTCCACATTACTTTCCTTAGGTGAAGAAAAAGATTTGGGACTTATCATCACATAGTGGTAGCTGATGAGCTGAGGGTAGGTTAAGGTGCCCCAAGGAAAGTATACAGATTGCGAAGAATGCAAACCAATGGAAGGAAACAATAAGTTTCAACTATTTATAAAGAGGAAGAAAAAAATATTACTCCAGGGCCAGCAGGTGGCATGGATCATACATAGCCAACTCCATGGTCTAAGTCCCTGACCTAGCAGCCTGATAAACGAACTGGGGGTGTATGTGCATGCCCCAAAACTCAAGGGCGGCTTGTGGCATAGCCATTCCCCAGGAAGTGATTTCTCATTTTCCCCTCTCTCTCTGTCTCTGGTGAGCACATGCACCCTATGGCATAAATCTTCAACAACAAAAAAAATACTATTCTTTTTTTTTTTGGGGAGAGATTTTTGCTATAGGGCATGTATGCTTGCCAAAGAGACACAGACAGAAAGCAAGAAATCACCACCACCGCCCCCCCACCCGGGAGCATGTCCATGCTGCAATCCCTTCTCCTCCATTCTCCTCTTGGAATTTTGAGTATGCATGCACAGGTGCCCAGCATGACTTTGAAGCCACCAGGTCCGGGACTGGAACCACAGTTGACTACTTGGGAGACCACTGATGTAACCATTACACCATCTGCTGATCCCAATAAATAACTATTCTAATGTTCAAAAAGAGTCAACTGCATTTGACATTAATATTATTATGGACTACTGTTAAACAATTTAAGGAGTGTGTAAGAGATAAGGCAAAGGGTTAGAGATAATGGGAGGTACAGAACACACATCAACTACTCTCACAAAAATTCAACTGTGAAGAGAAAGAGTAGCAAGTTATAGGGAAGTAAAAAGAAAGAAGCTGACTCAAAGAAGGTATTTTTTTTCCTTTTCTTTTTTCCCAGCTGGATGAACAATGAATGTGTCTACACTAAGAATAAAGGTACCAAAGGAGAAGAAACAGGCTGACTATATAGGGAGGAAACAACAACAACAATGACAACAACAAATGAGTTTCTGGAGCAGTGAGAAGATGGAAACAGCTTTAAGTGTTCAGATGAGAGACAGAAAAGTTGGGAGCTCATGCTTAGTGAGCTCTAGTCTCTGAATCAGAAGGTAAGGTCCACTACTAAGAGATGGACTTCAAGGAAAACATTTTTCTTTTTAAGAATTATTTAATTTAATTTATTATTATTATTTTTTAATTTGACCAGAGAGAGACAGAAAGAGAGAGGTAAAGTGATAAAGCAAGCTACCGGGTCCAGGACTTGAACCACAGTTGGCCATGTGGAAGTCCAGTGTCCTTAACTACCATGCCACCTCTCGGCCCCCAAAGAAAACTTTCTAAGGACTCTCCCTCTTTTTTTTTTTTTTTTCTTTTTTTTTTTAATTGCCAGAGAATACATGTGCTCACCTGAGGGGCAAGGGAGTTAAAGAGAGAGTAAGAACCCCCACCCCACGAAAAGAGAATGGTCACACTGCAATCCCTTCTCCATCTCACCATCCTATTGGGATTCTGGCACACATGTACACATGCTCAGCATGTTTTTCAACCCATTGGGACCAGGATTTTGGTGGCCATGTAGGATTCGGTTCCTTTAACCAGTAGGCTTCCAGGCCAGCACACTGTTTAAGTTCTTTAAATACTCACTGAAAGGGGGACCAGCAGTTAACGTAATGGCTATGTCGCTGGACTCCCATGTAGTCAACTGTGGTTCAAGTCCAGGACCCGGTGGCTTAAAACTCCTGTTGGGCATGTATGCGTGCGTGCCCAAGATCCCCAGAGGAGAATGGAGGAGAAGGGATTGCGGTGTGGCCATGATTTCTCACTTTCTGCCTCTCTGTCTCTCTCTGTCTGGCAAGTTCATGTGTCCTGTAACAAAAATCTCTCAAAAAAAAAAAAAAAAAAAGTCGCTGAAAGGTACAGGAAAGTGAGAATATCAAAGACAAAAAAAAATTTTTTTTCTGAGTTGTAAAATTTCAGTGGAGATCAAAAGCCATGCATATATACAGGTTATCAATCCTTTATTGTTAGAGAATTGCTTTGCTTAGCAACTCAAATAGGGGAGAAGAAATGGCAGTTTTATATAAATACAGGATTTGAAGTTTGCAGACTGGGTAGGGCTTAATATGAGATGGTAAGTGAGCATACTACTGCTGGTGACTGTATGAGGATATCAAGTTAGGAGGGAATGGATACCCTGGGAGAGGGGGGAACAAACAAACAAACAAACAAAAATGAAGATGCCAGAGACAGGAACACCATTAAGAATTAATAGATTTGGGCCAGCAGGTGTGGAGGTTAGGGTGCTGGATTTCACATGGACAATTGTACAGATCAAAGCCTGGACCTGGCAGCTTGAAAAACACACCAGTGGTATGCGTATGTGCACAAAATCCCAAAAGGAGAATGGAGAAAAAAGGATGGTGGCATGGCAATCTGCCCCGAGGGAGGGGAGTGCTTTTTAAAAAAGAATTATCTTATTTAACTTAATTTAATTTTATTTGACCAGAGAGGGACAGAGTGAGAGAGAGAGAGAGAGAGAACAAGCACGTGAAGAGAAAGCAAGCTGTTAGGTCTCAGACTCGAACCACAGTTGAACATGTGAGAGTCCAGTGCCCTTAACTACCAAGTCACCTGCTGGCCCCATGGAGGGGGTGCTTTTTTACATCCCTGCACCCCCCCCCACTACACCCATCTCTGGTGAGCACACATGCCCTATACAAAATTTAAAAATTAAGAATTAATAGGTTTAAGTTGAAAGGAATAGGAGCAATAGATAAGTTTTTGTAAGGTAATTTTTTGAAAGTTACACAATAACAGAAATCATGTCTGTTTTAGTCATTCTTTTTTAGCTATAGTCCATAAACTATTGCCTGGATAACTGGTCAGAGAATACAATACTGGAGTTTAAGATTTATTTGTTATGACAAAATTGAGGGTATGATCAATGATGTGAATTATTGAATAAAAACAGAAAGCAAGGCCCTTGAAGTCAATCTGGTCAAAATCCATCAAGGCTCAAGTACTGATTGGGTCACTGATGGCATGGGTTATAGCAGAAAACTGTGAAACATGTGACAAAATTATATGTGAGGGTCCAAAGAAAAAGTTAACAGATGATAGTGAGAAGGAATTGAGTGGGTAGAGCAACAATGATGAGACCTCTAAAGAGAGGGATTTTGTTTGAAGGTGGAAAATGAATGTTTGGGAATAGCACTGAAAAGTTGGGAAAACAGTAAGTTCTCTCTTCTAGTCTTAAGACAAAGGATGGGGAAGGAGGAGAGTATGGGAGAATAAACAGCCCCCACATGAAGGACAGCCAGAGAAGTAGTGTCCTTGGGAAAGTGCCAGGTTTCAGTTAAGGCCAGGAGGGGTAAAGAACATCATGTGAAGAGGAACAGGGGCTCCAGAAGGCAGTGAAAAGGGGTGGGAGGAAAGCAGTAGGAGGATGAGCCAGGAGAAAAGTACACAGCAATATGGGGATGAGATTATGAAGTTAGGAAGCCAGAAAGGCTTGCATTTTGGTCACTGCAAGGCTAGGATGAGAGTCATGGGAACAACTGCTGAAAGATTTGAATCTGAACTTTGAAACAAAGAAATTTTGGTACTGGTACTGGCCCAAGTGTTCTGAGTCTGATTTCTTGTACCTTCTTAGATATTTTAATAAAGAAACAACAGATTCTTACCAAGTGAGACCAGGTTTCCATAATTCTCCATCATGACATCTTTATACAGGCTTCTCTGAGCTGGGTCCAGATAATCCCACTCCTCCTGGGTAAAAAACACAGCCACATCCTCAAATGTCAGCAACCCCTGAAATAGTATGATTTCTTCAGTCAGATCCTGTTGTCTCAAGGACAATTCTACCACTGAAAGTGGCAGAAGCAGTAAGTTATGAGGACCAAATATGCAAAGAGAAACTAAGAGTTCCAAGTGATGTTCAGTTCTGGGAACTGACTGTGAAAGGCACTTCAGACTACAGGATAACTGGGCAAAAAGATGAAGTTTTTCTGGTTTAATAATACCCTAATGTTTTAATTTTGGTAAAATGCCCCAAGGCCTCCAAGCTTCTCTTACCTCATTGCCCAGCTCTAATTCTCTATTCACACTGGCTTGTAGCCCTATTCAATTCAATTCCTTGAGGTTTTCCAAGCGCCTACAGTGGTCCAGGCATTCTGCCAGGTGCAGAAAAGACACGGGGGAAGGTCAAAAATGGTGCCTCACCTGCAGGAACTCAAATGAGAGCTAGTTTGGAGCATTATTAATGTTCCGAAGTCAATATATTTAGTCCTTCTTAAAAGAAAAAGGAGCCAGTGGGCAGTTTGTTCTTGAACGCATCTCAGAGCACTAAGGGGTTGTTCCTTTATAGTGCTGTCCCTATAGAAGCGGTCAGGGAGTGGGAGTGAGGTGGTGACGCGTCCTATCTCCGGTAGTGGCAGACAACGGGGATCCCCAGAGGGGCGACTTACCTTAGGATCCGGTGAAGGACTCGGGGAGGCCATCTCCTGGCCAAGATGGTAGGAGCAGGAAACTCGGGCGGTTACACAAAAAGGAGCCACTAGCGAGGCCTACTCGGTCGCTTGGCTGCTGGAAATAAGGCCCGATGAAGACCAGGCCTCCCGACTGGGTCCTGCCAGGTCCTGTCTCAGTCCCTGAGCGGTCACGACCCCAGCAACATATCAGATGCGCCACCTAGCTACCCTCCCTAATCCGAACCCCCTTCCCTGACTGGTTGCGCAGCCTTTCAGGCCTTGCTAAAGCCTCCTCCCAGTTACCAATTCTTTCTCTCAGTCAAGCAGCTCTGTGACCGCCCGCCCCCGGACCAGAGGCGTTACCCGGAACCTTCCCGGGAAGCCCCCAACTACAACACCCATCATGCTCTGAGAGAGCGTTGCGGCTTCGCCCCGCCCACGCCGGCCATTGCTATCGGACTACATTTCCCAGAGTGCAAAGGCCAAGGAGACGACCGGAAATAGGGAACACCTGCCACTGAGCTTACATCCGATTGGCTGGCCTGGCGGGCTGAGGCCTGAGCCTCAGCTCTCCGGGAAGATGGCGGCCCTGTCGGTGT